CGTTTGTCAGGTTAGCTCGTTCTGAGTAAGTTCAGCGAGTCATTAAAAGAAAGTGATTGTAATACTGACTATAACTTGCACTTCCTTCCGGCGTGATTCCCCGCACTTGAAAGAATAAAGCTTAACAGAAGATAATGAAAAGAGTAAGAAGTGAGAGACAATGGAAGAGAAAAATGATAGTGAATTAAGAGCATTTTAAGCCTAAGTATGTAATTGAGACTAAATTGACAACAAAAAATACAAATAATAAATAAATAATAATATAGGTAGAAATAAGGATGATAATGAAATCAATATTGATAAAGATAGAAATAATGATAATAATAACACCACCACCAATAACAATAATAATGATAGTAATCATAATAATAATGAGTCATAACAAAAAGAGCAAAATCAAGGCAATAAGGTTACTGATGCAATAAAATTGAGACTTAAGGAATTACATTCAAATCACCATTCTCAAGTACACTACGAGCATTGACGTCCTTAAACATGGGGAAATGATGCAATTATTAAAAAAAAAAAATCCTGGATCAGGATCACCACCAAAAGGACATATAATTGAAGCTAAGACATACCTCTTGTAAATAATCAGAAAATGATATATACACAACTTTTCGAGTTATCCTGCTAACCAACGAACGAACAAACAAACTTACGCGACCAAAAACATAATGATAAACACTTATCTTATCACAGACAGACAAGCAGGACACCGGGACACAGAGGACAGACTTAAATGAAATCAAGAGGAAATCGAGTAACAGCTGATGATAACAAATAGAAAAAAAATCGGAGACAATTTCATGTTCAAAAGTCTTGACTCAGACTCAACATTACGCAAAATTTATACATATACTATGTATGTATATAGTTTTTCGCGATACCTGCATTCTAACAGTTAATTTCTGTCTTTTGTATCGTACGATCATCATCATAATTATCATGATAATTATTATTCTCATAAAAAAACAGTCTATACATCATAATGATCCATGAGATCAGATAGTATAGATTCTTTTCTTGTGACCGATTACAAGGAAACAAAACTCTTTGAGTGCTAGACAGAGGGTCTAGAACCGAGGACGATAAGGTGCCGAACTGCCGCAATCTGCCCCTGTCAGACCTGTCGCTGTCTGACACCCGGTCCGCTTGTCATGAAATTCTTGGAGGAGATTATGAAAATGATGATGATGATGATAAGAAGATGATGATGATAATGAAAATGAATATGATAATAAGATGATGATGATGATGACAATAAGATGATAATGAAGATGAAAAGATAATATGATGATGATGATGAAAATGAAGAGAATAAATTATGAGGATGAAAATGAAAATAAAGAAGATGAGGCTGCTGATGATACTAGTAATGATGAAGATAATGATGATGAAGATGATAATGATGGATGATAACGATGATGGTAAAGATGATGATGATGTAAAACAAGAAGATGAGGTGGAAAAAAGCAAGAAAAACAGGACGAAATAAAAAGGAAAAGATTAAAAAGATCCATTCTTCGGTCGGAACCAAACAGACAACAGGAGAAGATTAATAAATAGATGAATTCGAGATCAACCCCTGCAGTTTTGGAAGAAAATCCTCCCATTTCCCCCCCAGAGGATGACTCCTTTGCCCAACGGACTGCAAATACGTGGCGAAAAAACGATCATTCCCCCACCCCCTCCCCTGCACTCGCCACCCCATAACTGGCGCCGCGTCGGGGGTGACGGAATAGGTGCCAGTTGCATCAGGTGAGGAGGGCAGAGGGTTGGGGGGGTGGGGGTACTCCCTGAACCGCCCCCTTCATCAGCTGATAAACCTGTTATCACTTCGTGTGTTTTAAAGTCCGTTGAATTTCCAGTTCTCTTGTGATATCTCGCTACAATCATTATAGATTATGAATAGATTTTGTCTGCTCTTACATCGTATATCTACTATTCGGCACCAGTTTCCAGTGACTCATTCCAGGCAGAAGTGGATTTTTTAAAATATACTTTTTTTCTTCTTTTCTCTTTCAGCATATCAGAACTTCGGAAATGTTCAGTATTGGTTTGGTGTAAGAGAAACTGATAAACAATTTGACGAGGCAGAAAGAGAAAGAGAAACAGAAAGGGAGAGAGACAGAAAGAGAGAAAGAGAGAGAGGGATACCCTGTAAATCGCAGGTCATAAATGGGATCTGACTTTCGTCCCGTCTTCAGGTCCGAGGCTATTTTGCCAATTAATCTGAATATCGTTTAGGTATTCGTATAGTACTTGTCCAGCGTATACACGTATATTGTATGTTCACACGCACAAATCCATCAATCTATCTATATATATGCTCGTAGATAGATATACACATATGTGTATATATATATATATATATATATATATATATATATATATATATATATATATATATATACATACATACATACAGTGAACCCTCGCTATAACGCGGTTCACCTTTCGCGTTCTCGCTGCTTCACGGGTTTGCATTGTACATTGT